CACACAGACTGTGAGTATTATAGACTCAGACACTTTTGAATACGCCAATCCTAGCGGAACAGTGATTTCGATGCTTTATGGCTTACCTAAGATCCACAAGAAAGCTGTACTGCTGTGACCGATGTTGTATTTGTGCAACTCCCCCTATCGTTTGACTGCTAAGTGGATTGTTAAACGCCTCTAGCCGATAGGGAAAGCCATATGCAGATACAGCCTTCGGAACACTTTCGAATTTCTTGACTCGGTGCAATAACTCGAACTAGCTAGACGGAAGATGTTCTCGCTGGATGTGGCGTCACTTTTCACCAACGTCTCGTTAGAAGAGACCATTGACTATCTCTGCGAGTTTATCCAATTGCACAGCATCCACATTAGTATCCCAAATGGGCGTTTAAGGCAACTTATACTGGCGTGCACTAAGAATATGCAGTTTCAGTTCAATGAGACGTTTTACAGACAAACAGACGGGGTAGTTATGAGTTCGCCATTAGAGCCGCTACTCGCCGATGTCTTCATGAGTAAGTTGGAGAAGACCCAGCTAAATGAAGGTATCAACTTAGTTTACTACGGCCGATAGGTTGATGACATATTTTGTGTTGCGGATAGCCGGGTTTGCATTGAAGATCTGCTAGCCCACTTCAACACTGCACACAACAACATAGTGTTCACTATAGAACTTGACAACAACAACTCCTTGTCATTCTTATATGTCTACATCACCAGGACATCAGACGGGACAACACAGAGGAAAGTACACAGTAAGACAACTTGGAACGGTCAGTATACCCATTTCGTCAGTTTCGTTCCAATATGTCAAAAACGGAGCGTCGTCCGTTGTCTAACGGAAAGAGCGAGGAGAATATGTAGGCAAGACACGCCGTTGGATGAGTTGAGTTTCATTCGAAGCGTTTTCGAACAAAATGGTTACCCGAACGAATTCATCCGGAGGCACATGGAGCTACGAGGGAAAAAAGTCCAACCAATCACCACAGAAAAGTGCTTAATCTAATTATCACTGCCTTTCAACGGAACGAACTATTCGAAAGCTATGCAATGTAACCGCGAGAACCTACTTTATTGAGAAACCCCATCGCAAGTCAGTGTAAGCGAACATGTTTTCGATAAATCCTTGTCACGTTGCTACAGATATATACACATAAAAACAAAATGGGTAGACAGATAGTACCAGTCGTTAGTGCAGGAGTGAGTAAAATACTGGCAGGGGATTTGACAGTGGCTGTCCGTTAGGTTACGACAATTGTCTTCGCGGGTCAGAGGTCGTCAGGCGTTTGGTCCAGGGTAATCCCAACCCACTAGTTAGTTTCTTCTGGATACACAGCTCCGGGTCATAGTCGAATCGCAATTGCCTCATCAGCTTTTAGTATTCATTTACGCACGTAGTTCGCCGGGGCCTGATAATATTGAAAGAATCAGCTGATTTATTAGCATGCCTAGTGTCAGCGAGGAGCGCGGCTATTGAAGAGCTGACTGACTTTCTGGTTCCAGCTCCAAGCCAGGCCAGATGGTGTTTCTGCACTCGCTCAGATAGACACCTTGTCGTACGATCAATGTATTCTGCTTCACAGGAGCAGGAAAAGGAATAAATACACATCAAATTGGCGAGGACAGACCTCTTATCCTTCGAGTTTAGTTTCCCCGTCAGAGTGCTAGTGAACTGGACTTCCATTCTTGCTGCGGCGTAGGTACGTCTCAGTACACGTTAAAGACGACGAAATAAAAGTCCTGAAACAACTTCACCATTATGTGGCAGCTGAAGGAAGATCGGCTTACGTTGCACTGTCAAGAATACGGGCTGTTTACTCTTCTGTTGTATGCTGGCTCTAATGAAACTTTCGGGGTAGCCATTCACCCTCAGCACCGAGTGAATGCACTCCAATTCCTAAGGAAAAATGTCTTCTGAGCAAAATTTTTCAGCTCGGCTCACTAGGGTACGGAGCAGATTCCGTTTAAACCTTAAAAGCACGAAGCTGCAGAAATTTGTGTACTGTCTAGTTCACCTATTTTGCAGCTGACCTCCGTATCAGCTTCAATTCCACATCAATCGTGAGACATCCGTCGCAACGAGACTGGATCTTAACGTGGTGTGACGATTTGCGTACTTCTTTGACCTATTGAGCTATGCTGGGTTGTGCGTCAAGGCCCCTTGAGAGCTACTCCTACCAGATTGGTCAATGGGTAGAGGCCAGACAAACTCAGTCTCCTGGTCCTCCAGGTTGGGGGTTTAAAATGGGATGGAGTCCATTTCTGTAAAACTAAACCCTTGTCACCTCCCCGCTACTTTGCGAACAGGTTTTTGAGACAAAGGCTTTGGATGAGGACCCTAATTGTTCTCCTGTCTAGGTCTGGGTGTCCTGGCAGTATCTCAGTCCACATACAACCATGACTTTTTCTTCAAACACAAACTTCATCCTGCATCGGCCGTCGCGCAGATTATCAAGGGTCGCCTTATCTGCTGCATACAGTAGTGCGGATAAGCGAAAAAATGTACTTCTGGTGCCTCCCTTCTTCCTTTTCCACCTGTTTCTCTTACCCCATACCGACCACATTACTAACGTTACTCCTGTGATGCCCAGCATAATTGACAGCAACTGAAGTGCCAGTGGAATAGAACCAACTGCAGAGTTTGAGCTGTTCTCCGAGCTGAGTGGTTATTTTGGAGACGTTCCGTTACCGACAAGGCAACATCATCAGTGCGATTTCAGGGGCCTGTTCGCAGTGCCTCTTAAGCGACTTTAATGTCCAAGTGCTTATTGATCGAGTTCTGCTTCGAATGCCAGGTTTCAATGAACTCACTTGCTTGCCGGCTTTTAGCTCTTTCGAGGAGGGTGGCGTGCTGCGGGTCGAACTGATGGTTCTCGGCATCCATATGCATTGACAACAGGGAGTTCTGATCGTGACGATGAATGGCTAGGCTGTGTTCGAGTAGTCTTGTGCCAAGCTTTCTTCCAGTCTGTCCCACGTAGTATTCGTCGCAGTTCCGGCAGCAGATCTTATAAATCACACCAGTTTCTTCTTCTTTGCTAAGTTTATCTATCACTTTAAAGAGTTTACTGCGAATTGTTTGTTGGCTGGTGTACAACTTTGACTCCAAAAGGTAATGATAACCTCGCTGCTACTTCAGAGATTCCGTTGATATAAGGAAAAGTGGCTCTCTTTCCAACTATTGCATTTGTCGAGGTGTGCTGAGAAGCCTCTCGTGGTGCGAGGTAGTGTAGAATGAAGCTTTTTACGAAGGAGATCCGCTTGAACAGACTGAAGATATGGTCTTCCTCCGCCCGTCCCAGCTGCTGTGTGCTACAATGTGCTTGCGCTCGTTTGAAAAGGGTTCGCACGCAACTGCGTTTGTGAGTTGACGGATGATTGCGACCGTAGTTGAGGATCTAGTCCGTATGCGTAGATTTTCGGTAGACGGTCTTTTGCAATCGTCCAGCAGCAGTTCGTATGAGAACGTCTAAGGATGGTAACTACTCGTTGTTCTCCTCCTCCCTGGTGAATTGGATGCCATCGAACATACTGTTGAATAGTTCGCGTGTTTCCTCCAATTTGGAGCGCTTCAGGATGACGAAGGCGCCGTCCACGTATCGTACCCAGCGATCGGAAGTGCTATTTGGTCCAACACCTGTATCACTGCCTAGGCTACCAAACCAGAGATCGGCGACCCCATTGGTGTGCCGCTTAATCTGTCCGTAAATTTGGCCGTTGAATGTGAAATGTGTTGTTAAACAGAATCCTAGCATCTGTTTAGCATCTGTTTAGCGTCGAGTTTACTGCTTGTATCAGACGACGTGTGAACCACTAGCAGGTGCGTCATTGTTTGTTTCGCCAAGCTGATGACGACTGTGAACAAAGCGGTAACATCAAAAGAGACCATTATTTCGTCCGTTCAATGGTTACGGTTGTAAGTTTCTCAAGGAACTGTTCAGCCGAGTTGATCGAGTGTTCCGATCCCGCGATTAGGTGTTTTAGCCGACGCCAGACCTCCTTTGTAAGCCTGTAATTTGGTGCTCCAGGTAACGACACGATGGAGCGAAGCGGCACTCTGCTTTTGTGCAGTTTAGGTAAGGCATAGAACCGCGGTATAACCGAGTCTTGAGGTCACATCATTTTGTGTTCCCATTTCGTGATTTTCCCCATTCGTTCCAGTCTTTGCAGAGTGGGTCTGATGTTACCTTCTAAGCGTTTGGGTGGGTCTTCGTTTATTGGCTGGTATGTGTTGGTATCACTGAGTAGGTGTGGTGTTTTCATCATGTAATCAGCTTTGTCCATTATAAGAGTAAGGTGTTCTTTGTCGGCCGGCAGTATTACTATGCTCTTATCTTTCCTGTGGTTCTCCAGAGCTTTCCGTTCAGCGGCGTTGAGTATGTTGGTTTCAACTTTATGACTGTCTGACCTATTGTGGAGCTTCAGGTGGGAGGTTGTAAGATTTTAGCGTTGATTAAAGTGCAGCGAGGAAGTCGATGGGATTAGAGTCCTTAACATTGATTTGCATACTTCGGACAATGAGTGCTTTTTTTGCGCCCATTAATCTTTTAGATATGTTTGTAATCCAAGCATCGTCTTCCTTAGTTGGTTACTTTAGTAACATCGAATTCAGCTTCTCTTCAAGCCTCGGTTTGATGTTTAACTTTGTCTTATGTGCTTATACGGCTATCGCTTTTTCCAATTCTTCGGTCAATTCTGATCCCAGTCTGGATAAGTAAATTGCCTGCTGTTCATCAATCAGCATTTGGTATTTATGCTCTCGACAGTGCGCATCTGTAATCAACAGGCGCAACATTCTTCGCCCATGTTGTTCTGTTATCTCCCAAGCCAAAGGATGGTTGATCGGAGGACGGCAGTGCAGACTCGGCGGCAAAACAGACATCCGCAAGCCTTCGTGCAGGAAATAGAGCTGCCGGTCAGTGGATGACTGCCGACTGGCAAATGTCTCCCACCGGCGAGCAGATCTTAGCGCGTCGAGCCCAGTGATTTGAAATAAATGATACTATCCGTTGTGGATGAGGATGTTGAGCTGTTCATCGAACTGAGTGATTATTTTGCAGACGTTTCGTCGAAAGACAAGGCCACAATATCATCGCCATGACCAGAACTTTCTGACGTCAGTGCAAATAGATACCGAGAACCATCAATTCGACCTGCAGCACGCCACCATCCTCGAAAGAGATAAAAGCCGACAAGCAAGTGAGTTCACTGAAGCCGGGTATTCAAAGCAGAACTCGATCAATAAATAGTGGAACGTTGAAGTCGCTTAAGAGGTACTGTGAACAAGCCCCTGAAGCCGCACTGATGATGTTGCCTTGTCTGGCAACGAAACGTCTCCAAAATAATCGCTCAGCTCGGAGAACACCTCAAAATACGCATAAACACCCCGAGCTACGGATATTCTCATTTATTTCAGAAGCATCTGCAGTCATCTTCCCGCAACACCCACCGGACACCTATCCTCAAACGTCCCTTATAAGGCCAGACTGTCCCGTTTCCATGGCGACATTCAACGTTCACACTCTGAGACAAGTAGGTCGAAAGACTGCACTCGCACGCATCTTGAACACGCTGGGTGTTCACGTGTGTTGTGTGTCCAAAATCAGGATCAATGACCCTAATGGGGTTGGTGAAGTAACTGCGCCCGGCTTGTCCTCTGGCCATTGGTTGCACGTATCCGGAGACACCGATGCAGCACATACGGGTCAAGCTAGGGTAGCCGCTCCACTGAACGGATCAAATTTGGTGACCCAGAGTTAGCGGCTTGGTTCGCAGGATATAAAAGTGGATGATGAGGGCCAATTGAACTGGGATTGAAAACGTTCGCCCCGTCAATCGAAGCGTCTCTCTAGGTTGACAATCGGTGAATCATCCGCTTTGTAAATAGTCACACTGAAACCAGGCTTTTTTGACAAGTGGATCGAATGAGCTTGCGAGTATTGCTAGACAAAGCAGCGGCCTCCATTTCCGAAGCGTGCTGAGACCACCAGGCTTCCTAATCACTGCGTAGGCTTCGTTGGAGCTGCCAATTGACAGAACGGCTCACTTCATTATGGTTGGACTGCACTTGGATATTCTTGTGGCAATCAAATAGATCCAAGGAGCGCGTGGAGATCCAACCCTTCGTACGGTGCTGAGTAAGACCAAAGACCAACTGTCGGGAAGAGATCATGTCGCTCTGCATGAACGTTCAGTGTTCAGCAATGTCTTGTGGAGGGTCACAGCTGAGTGCATCGACCAGAGAAGCATGATAGCTATGCTGAACCGAGAGAGTAGATAGTTTATTTGTATCCATCTTACAGTGTTTCGTTTTTGAGGATCTTCAGAACCTTATACAGACATTCACACAAACAAGAGCATGGTCTGAGTCAGGAAAGGTGGACCAGATTGATTTGCAAACACTTACACTACCACGCCATCTGAAACGGACTGCGATATGATCAATGTGAGACCAAGAATGGGACGCAGAAGGGAGTCACCAAGTAACAGAACATCACCTCGAATGCTGAAGGCTAGTGATCGAAAGTAATAAACGATTGTCTTCGCCCAATTCGAGAAGACATTCCACATTATCCGAGCGGCTCTTATCGAGCGCATGGTGACCACCGAGGTGACTTTCGTATGACAATAGACGATCGGCGCGTGCGTTGAGATCCCCAGCAAGGACAACAATATCGGATTTGCAAGCACTGCCCTAGAGCTAGTGAAGTTCACGACAGAAATCGTCCTTGACTGAGTCGGGACTGCAGTCAGTGGGAGCGTAAGCCGAGAGCACAAACAAGTTGCGTCTCTGCTCACAATATCTGTTGACTCGGCATGATCCCCGAAGCCGAACTGCACAGTCGGCTATTAATCGGAAACCAGTCCAGCAGTGCGGCTTCGGCTTGGCTGCTTAGCGCTACACCAACGCCAACCAAGTCTGACGCAGCTGCCCCTACGTCATGGCTCGGCATTCGGCGAGAGGTCTCAACTCCAACACATTGTTGGAGTCTTACAGTAATTTTTTGGAAAGAGAGCAAACACCGATGGTAAAGAATTCTAAGGTGCGCACAAGACCAGCCTGCTACCCAATCTGCATGTGTATACGTATATTAAAGCATGCCAGGCGGAACGAGAACAGAGGCTGAAGGAGGGCTGCTGGACGAACTATGTTGGTGTTGACGAAACCATCGGGAGTGGAATCAGGGAAACAGGAATCAGTTGGCAACGGATAACAGTGATTGGTAACAATTAAACGGGTGACGTGTAAAGGTGTGTGAGCAGCGGAAGCGAATGTAGTTAAGCGCGGTATAGCAGAGTAACGGTCCATGGTTTTGTCAGTGGGCGTGAAAATACCCGGTTGCCCAAACCGAAGTAGGGAGTTGTCTTAGGGGATACCACCCCGAGCCTTTGGCTAAATAGCTTACCCGTAGGGCAGCAGGGCGAATTCAGGGAATCGCGCACATGGGGAGTCACTGACTGAATGTTCAGTTCATATGTCTTTTGTCTGGTAGGTTAAGAAACGAGGCCCAATCCGCCCCATGAAATCAGCACAATTGCTGGGGTACAATGCTCCACCGAGATGGAACACTGCAGCCGAATACTTCGCTGGAACGGGGTACACACGAACAATCCAGCTGAAACCATGAGGAGGTAATTCGGCAAGCCAGCCGAGCTAAGGATACTGCGAGGAACGCCCGATGCCCTGCGCAGGCTCGAACCCGCGTCTTCGGATTACAGGGCAGGCTTGTGATCCCTTAAGCACTTGTTGTTATTATAAGTAGCACTTTGCTTAAATTTTAATACTGCTTCAGTGCAAGTGTCATTCTTGCCGGTACTCGCGAGGATACGTACAATAGCCTTCTGTCAACAATTAAGTTAGGACCAGAACTCCGACACGCCCTACAGTGTGTAGAGTAAAGTTTTGTGGTTGATGTCGAGCTATAGGTAAATTGATTCAGGACTCAAAGGGTTAACCCACGGGCCGTCAATAGCGTGGCATACGATGAAATTAAAAGTGATGCAAGCCGATGGTGATAAATGCTGAAATCGGATGAAAACAAAAGGAAACAGAGAGGGAGGAGTTCAGCAAGCAAAGTGGGGGATAACAGATAGGTAGACGAGACCCACCTTTTCTGAAGTACTATCCTGATCCACCGCAAAGAACCCAATACGTTCGAACTGGTATCTGCTGTAGACTGGGGCGCCTTTGAGGGATGGTTCAACCATTGCATTGGGTATGACACATAAGGAATCCTGTGGTTCATGATAGAAAGCAAAGAAACCTGGTTCACTGAGTGTGGACGTAGGGAGTATCAGTGTGCAACAATGCACACTAGCTGGGTTGGGCTGCGTGTTGTGTAACGGGAGGTTAGCGGTGAATTAAGAGAAAGAAAAAAAGCCAGCAGTATGCCGACCCAGAGTAAAGACACTTGGATGCCACGCGACGAACATCACTTGCGCGTGAGCTGCCTACACCGCGAAGTCACCTGCATCTAAACGGATTCGTATTGGTGTACTACGGATTACAAAGCAGGTATGTAGTCCTGTCCGTCATCATAATAATCATCACCATTACACATTAGCTGAATATAAAATACACGCTTCATGTAATATGTCGCAATATGTAAAGAAAATATAAGAAAAATTAACATGATGCACTATGTGGAATGTAAAAGCAGGCGACACGCTACTTAGTAACATATCATGCTTCAGGATGGGTAAGATAACCGGAATGGGGGAAATGTACAAAACAAACTTCAGCGAGGTCGGCTCCTCGCGGTTTCAGCTAGGTAATCCAACCAAACGTGTTCATCATCCTTCGGACCCCAGACAGGTAGTCGGGAAACACCAACGCATGCCAAATTGAAAGTGAGGGACTTCATTCCTCTAGACCAAGTCATCGCTTCGTTTCGCCTCGCCTCTTCTTCCATACAAACGCCAAGCGCGCAAACAACGCAAGATGAGGGAATCGGTGTGCTGGCATGCGCAACACGTGGTCCAGCCATCGAAGCCTGATGTGTGGTATAATGGTGCTAAGCATTTCACTAGCTCTTCCCGCATCAAATACACGACGCCGAACACGCATACTGCTGATGCAGTGTTCCACCAGACATGTGGTAAGCTTCGAAGGGAGCGATGGTCGTACGTAACTAGCCTCTTTATGTCGCTTGATCTAGTGTGCCAGGTTTCGCAGCCGTACGAGTGGGTTGAATGGACGGCTGCATTGTAAACTCTATTCTTCAGGACGAGAGTGATGTCGTGCCAGGGTCACTGGTGGCCGAGATTGGCATAAGCGCCTCGAGCTTGGCTATGGGGTTTGTGATCTCATGTACAATTCCGCTGGCGCTGATATAGCTGCCTAGATACATGAATTTATCGGCGATTGCCAACTGATCACCACCGAGTGTCAGCGCAAGGGTGGGTCACTTCCAATCTTGGTCTAAAAATTTGCACTTCGACGGTGCAAGACAGCCTATAGCGACTGATAGTCAGTGCTACGTTTGAGACTTCACAGATAAGGGCAATATCGTCGGTGTACTCCAAAGCAAGAAGTCGGTCACCTGGAAGCAGCTCCACGCCATGCAGGTCGCATCCAGTGAACGCAGTTTCCATGAAAGGAAAGGTGAGAGTGAGTATCCATGTCTCACACTGTTGGAGATATCGGAGGGTGGCGACAGTTTGCCGCAGGCACCCACACTGCTCGAACTATGCGAATAAAGCGGTTTGATAAGGTTTGCGTATTGTTCCGGGCACACCTTTGATAAGAAGACAAACCCAAAGGGAACACCGATCAACCGAATCGAAGGCACCTTTGATGTCTGGGAACACGACTACGGTTGCTCGCCAATAAATGGCGGTGCCCCAAGTCCTATCGGTCACCAGCGTCCACCGCGATTTACTTTGAAGCAAAACTGGATACAACGAGGATATGATAAATACAGTATCAGCAGTACACCAGTACACCAAAGCGGCGTCTTGTTGCCACGTGAATATCAGCAGTAGCGTGCGGGCTAGAGGTGGTAGCGGATCGTTTACACTGACTCAGGCTCGAACTGGTAACCGGTGGATTAACAAACCAGACGACTGAAGCTCTCGGACAGCGGCCGGCCTTCGAGCAGAAAGTACTGCATGGCAAAGAGGACAGCTCGCAACACTGCGCATCCAAGATCCTTTTGTTTTATATTGTAGAGGCCCTGCCATATTGCCGAAGCCGATCGTTGTAAATGCTAATCGATCGGTGGACTATCGATTTTGGCCACACAAGTTGATATCAATTCATACGCCCACGACGAACGCCCAAGGTTCAGTGAACAGACTGTAAAATTAAAAAGCATACACTTTTAGGCGCGCGCTCATTCGTACACACGTGCACAGATGGACGTTGTAGACATCACTATCAAGGCATTCTGTGTAGTACAACCGTGAGTCGAAACACAGGCTTTTCCCAACCAACGGATTACCCAGCGAATCATCGATAAGTCAGACATTATTTTGTTCCAGTTGTATTCAGTAATAAACATTTTTGTATCCGAACCATACACACTGTTTGTACACATCTTAGTATTAGTGGCGTGCACCTTCTCTACTTTCTGGTGAGTGACTTCTTAACTTGGAGTATGCGGACGATATTGCCCTAATCTGTGACAGCTCCCAAACATGCCAAACAGCACTGAACCGATTAGCACTGGCTGTCAATCGTTTTGGGCTATGGCTTTGCTCCATCGAAATCCAAAGTACTTCTCCAAGATTGGCAGGGACCCAACCCTGCGCTAACACTTGGTGGTGATCTGCTAGAAGTCGTTCAGGAATTCAAGTACCTGGGCAGCTATATTAGCACCCTTGGGATTGAAGATGAGGTTACGAACCGTATAGCAAAAGCTCGAGGTGCTTTTGCCAATCTCCACCACCTGTGGCGCAGACGCCACATTAATCTCGCCCTGAAGGGCAGAGTTTACAACGCAGCCGTCAGTTCAACTCTCCTATATGGCTGTGAAACCTGGCCCATCAGGTCGACAGACATAAAGAGGCTCGTCATAGTTGATCATCGCTGCCTTCGCAACTTAGCTCATGTCTGGTGGGAACACCGCGGTTCTTAGGCATAATATAAGCTTTTTTACGGCACGATAGCCAGCTGTTAGCTCTTCGGAACGAGGTCCATCTGTTACTGGAGGCTCAGCGGGCGTGCCACCGTTTGTTTTTTCTTTGTATTGCGGCACAATAGCTGAGTGTTTTCCACCTCCAGCTAACGTGTATAATGATGATGATGATGTTTCTCTTACTCCCATCCCGACCCAAATTACTAATCTTCCTTCCACAATTCTTAGCTTAAATGACAGCAACCGAAGTGCCACTGGAGTCACAGCATCTGCAGCCACCATCCCACAGCACCCACCAGACGGCTATTGGAAAAAGTCCCTTATAAGGCCACACTGTCCCGTTTCCATGGCGACATTCAACGCTCGCACTCTAAGACAAACATGTCAACAGGCTGCACTCGCACACACCTTGGACACACTGGGTATTGATGTGTTGGTTGTCGGAACTAGGATCAGTGGCGGTAACTGGGCTGTTGAATTAACTGGACCGGGCTTATCTTCTCGTTATTGGTTGCACGCATCTGGAGACGCCGATGCAACACACACAGGACAATCTGTTGTAGGTACCATTCCAAGCTCCAAGGCTGAGTCATTGTTGGTTGATTGGATTCCGGTGAACAGCCGTTTATGTGCAGCCCGTTTGACGACATCAGCTAAGGTTGATTCACGAAGTAGTACAAAACGATGTCTGTTTGTGATTTCCGCTTATGCTTCCACCGACTGCAATTCTAATGCTGTCAAGAACACATTCCATCACGAACTGAACGCGCTACTACGCAGTGCTACTAGTGCAGATATTGCAGGGGATATGAACGCACAAGTAGGGCGTCTGACCTCTTCTGAAGCTCAACTGGGTGGTAATTGTGGACTGAACTTCGAACGGACTGACAACAGTGAGCGCCTGCTGCAACTGTGTGCCGAGCACCAGTTGTTTCTTACTAGCACTGCTTTTAGACACAGTGGGCGCCGAAGTGCCACTTGACGTCCACCTGTAGCTGGCCAGTGATGGACCCAAATTGACCACATACCCATAAGTTACAGGTGGCGTGATTGCATCCTGGATTGCCGCTCGTACTGGAGTAACTGCGTCAAATCTGATCATGATTTGGTATGCTGTCTTTTCTCCATGAACTTTACCGGGAAGCACACGAAGCGTCTCCTCCTATTGGCAACGGAGAAATTGTCTCAGCCCTCGGTAAATCATGCCTAACAAGAAGCACTGCATACCGAACTTCCGCTGTCTTGTCCTAATGACAATGAGCTTCAGTGGAATAGAATCTCGGCCACCATACACGAGGTACGAGCACCTGCTTGTGGCACTATCCATCTTCACCGCACCAGTCACTGGATGTCCGAGAGCTCGGTGTATCTGTTGAAATCTAGACAAAACCTCTCGGCTGGCTCTGAACACGGCGTGACCAGACGGGCTATTAGGCGTGAACTGAAGCAGAGCCTGCGTGCTGATAAGGAAGCCTGGTGGACCAGTCGGGCTCAAGAAATAGACGAGGCAGGAGCATTAGGCAATTACCGCAGCCTCTTCCAGCTTATCCGCACCACTGATCCCAGGATACCAGGCGTCAGTGAGACAATCAGAGACACTACGGGGGCACTGATACACAATAAGGAACGCCGTATGCCTTGTTAGGCGGAACATTTTCAAGATCTATTCAGCTGGCGCCCTGCTCCCGGACCTCTTCCTATGCAGGCGATGCAGGATGAGCTATAGGCGGTTAGTTTAGAGCCACCGTGAGAGGTCGAGATAAGTAACACAATCACAGCCCACAATCGTTTTCGTGCCGCTGGCCCTGAATCCCTCTCACTTGCGCTATTTAAGGATGGAGAGGAGGTCTTCTACAAAGCACTGACCTCCCTATTTCACAGTATCTGGAAGGAAGAGTGCCACCGCTAATTGGAGTGAAGCGATTGTAGTGGCAATATACAAGAAGGGCAGTCGCACAGACTGTTCTAACCACGGAGGTATTAGCCAAACGCCAGTTGTGACAAAATTACTGGCCTCGATTTTCATTCGTCGCTTCACTGCGGAACAAGAATCTCGGATTAGGGAAGAGCAGGCCGGTTTCCGCCCAGGACGTGGCTGTGTAGACCATATATGCACTATGCGGCAGGTGCTAGAGCAGCACCACGCATACCGCAGACCGACGTTGGCTGTGTTCCTCGATTTCAAGAGTTCGTGCGATTCAGTTTTTTGATCGATACAGTTCGAAATACTTGCGCGGAAAGCTGTTCCCACGAAATATGTGAACAACCTTCGTGCTCTATATTCGAACACTACAGGCCGCGTCAGGGTGTACGGTGGCCTATCGGATAGCTTTCCGAACACAAGTGGCGTTCGTCGCGGTTGTCCGATTTCCCCATTTTTGTTCAAGTTTGTCGTGGATTCTATCATGGAGTGTTTCCTTGCGAAATCTCACGATGTAAGCGTTGAGGTCCTGTCTGATGAAAGGTTAGTTATTCTTCATTATGCGGAAAATATCGTCTAGTTTTTCGACGATGTTGCGGCGACACAATCAACCGTAAATATCCTGTCTAGAGTGGTTCCCTTATTTGGTATGCACTTCGCACCCTCAAAGTGTAAACTGTTGCTGCAAGACCACCAGCCACTTGGTGATTTCTTGATCCTTGATAAGGAGAAACTCGAGGTGCCCGATCGATTCACTTATCTTGGCAGCTGCATTAGCAACGATGGGCTCATAGAAACTGACGTCTGCTTACTCATGCAAAGGCCAGAGCTGCCTTCTTGAACCTGCGGCATCTTTGGCTACAGAAAGGAATATCCCTCCGTCTGAAAGGCCGCGTATACAAGTACACAGTGAGGGCCGTTCTGCTCTATGGTAGTAAGACTTGGCCCCTTCGGTCTGAAGATCTGAGGCGCCTTCAAGTCTTTGATCACCGTTGTTTGCTGGTGTCGGATGGCACCAGCGTGCCCGCAACGATGATGTGAGTAGGCGAGTACTGGGTAGTAGTAATCACGCTAGCTCCATAGAACGACAGATAGCACTGAATAAGTAGCCTTGGCTCGGGCATGTGCTACGTATGCCTGGTTACCGCTTACCTAGGAGGGCCTTGTTCAGTCTACCAGGTGTAGAGTGACGCAAGGCTTATGGTGGACAGAAGTTGACTTGGCAGCTGGAAAGGAAGTCACTGACAACTAAACTGGGTGCCGTTGGTCCGTCTCGCCTTCCGGACTGGAATCCAAGTGACTCGACTTTTGCATGGCTCTAAAATTTACAGAACTTCGATTGCAACTGACACCAGTGGCTCGTCCGCTGCCGTCTGCCAATCGGATTGCCTGTTTAAAGTGTGTTTGGTGCTGAGTTATCTGCAAGGTAATGGCTGATAATGACGCGGGGTATTGAAAACCGTAAGGAAGCTGTCTCGTGGATGCCGCCTTATCATTACACGATAGTTAGCTGTTTGTGACGGTATGTAGTCTACACAAGGTGTAGGCGCCTTGACTCCGAGTCTTTTCTTACGACATCAAGGTTTACAAAAAGTCCCCCTTCTCTCCCTCTTTTTACCCCTTATTTCCTAGGTCCTCATGGTTGTATGGCAGCGAAGCATCAGTTCAAATAACTGATGTAGTGCTGTTGATGATGATGATGAATACTCAAGGTGCTTGATACAGACGTTGATACAGACGTTTCACGGGTTCGCGCAGAACGAGTAAGCGTAGCTTTTCGGTGGTTCTGCCTCGGGATCTTACGGCAAGGTCATGCTACACTACCTAGCCTGTGGAGCTGCATTGTGCGCGCTAGTGTGTGAGTGTCCATCTCCCGACTAACCAGCCGTGCTTATTGATTGGTTCAAAAGCGAGTGCTTAGCTAAAACATGTGAACTGCGTAAAACTAAACAATTGATCTTGTACCCAGTGTGAACTGCCGATGTACTATTGCCATTGCTTCTACTAAACTTCCATTTGCCATACTGTTGTTCTGATTTCGGTTGTGTAACAGGGCTCTGTTCATCTAAACTTGGTACCGGAATCCGAACGCAATCATTGATCACGCTGAGCTGCAGGCTTCCTTTAAGGCACTACTGAATTAGCCAGTACTCTACCTTAGGACAGAGGACATGAAATGCGACTAAATAGCTCATGCACCAACAATTTAACAAAAACAAGAGGTCAGTGTAATGGAAGTAAGTTGAATGTTGACACATGACAAGAAAAAAAGAAGCTAGATGCATTGGTAACTAGACTTACTTGACGATTGCCCTGAAGATGTTGATTAGTTCGTCAACGAAGCGTTGATAGATAAAACGAACAACTCAGAGCAACCAAAATCTCTTGGAAATATTCGTGTCGATTGCGATGACGCAGCTGGAGCCCCTGAATGGGCTGATAATGACGCAGCTCAGAATCAAATAGTGAGGAAATGAAAGTAAATCGTGTAACGTTTGCATGCATCTTCCAGTGGGGGCTGTTCTTCACCACAGTAGTAACCCGACGCACCAGGATTAAGCGAGTTCATCAACTGGTATTTTCTAGTGCTTCGATCCGGGTGCGATTATCAGTATCGAATCGACGAGTGCTTTTGCAAACTAGAGGGCAGTTCATTGAGACGTTATGCAACTTTGTCAGTGTTAACTATGACCCTTAGCCGATGAGCGAAGCAGAACGCGCAAGCGTAGTATGGAAGCGATTTATTGAAAGCATCCTGCGTTACAGTGGATAGAATATCGGGAAGGAAAACCCAGGAAATAAGAAAAGTAAGGCAAGGTCATTATCAACCAAACATGTGAGGGCCTGTGTCTACGAATCGATGCTCAAGTGCGTACGTGACACCTCTCTCCCCTGGTCAAGACTACAGACTACTTGACAGTCAGCTGCAAATTCATCCCGTTCAACAGTTTATTTGTACCAGACAAAGGTGCTGAGACAGTCCTCTGTGTGCAAATGAGAACATCAATATATCTACGTCAACTGCACTCCATTCGTTTACGAATGTTATTGGGTCAAATGATTGATCGTCCGAAAGATAAAAACGGTATCTAAGTGATGCTGGATAGCTGATCGGGCATTCCAATCACATCAATTAGACTAGGTTTGCTGTAGGAAAGGTTGACTGGAAATCTAAAGTATAGTTTCGGAAACGGTTGATGTGGGTTCCGAACATGATAGACCAACTTTCAATCGGTTAACGGATTAACGCTCCATTATACTATAACAGAGGGGACATGGCGTGCTCAGTCATTTCCTATTCCAAACTATTCAACCATTCACGCTGATATCCCGTACTGTGAAATGTGTGATGGTTACTTCACCCCCAAATTCACTTGGTCCTACAATGCACTTTGCAAACAGTTTCCGAAACACGCACCTATATCTCACTGGTTGCAGGTGAGTGTTTTGAACACACGATCTGCGCTCACGCCAGTGTTCCAAAGACGTGCGGTCATTCAGACAGTCGGCGACGATCGTGTGAGCTTCACGCACAAGTGAACACTTGAAGGTACAACATACAAATGGCGTTGACGAAGACGGAAAATACTGGTTTGCCAACCAACATGAACAAGCGGAGTGGTAATCAGTTAACCGGAAACCGCTAAGCTAAACGCTGATTGGCAATGAAATTTGCCATAATTCAGATACGCAAAAAAGGTATCAGAAGTAGATCATCAGTCATAATTATACACGTTAGCTAGAGGTGTAAAACACCTCAGCTATGGTGCCGCAATACATAAAAGAAAATAAATACAACAGTTGCTTGCCAGCTGAGCTAGCAGCAACGGATGCGCATCGTTCCGGAAAGCTGGTAGCCGGATTTTAGGTAAAAAGAAAATTAGTACGTTTTACGCTATGAGATGAGATCGTAAATGGAGGGGGAGGCTAAAAGGGGTGTTGAAGGACAAAGAAACTCACAGTACGAACGCCGCTGCGATCGGCTCCTAGCCATGTCAGCAAGTGTTTTCCAGCCAAACGTGTTCATCGTCTTTCGGACCCCAACCAGGGATCGGTGAAGCTCCAACCGAGTCCAGCTCCGAAGCGAGGACCTTCCTTCCTCTCGAGAAAGTCAGCGCTTGGCCACCCCTCCTCTTCTTCCATCCACACCCCCGGAGAGCAAACAGCGCACGTCACGGCAGTCGGTGGGCTGGCATGCGCAACACGTGACACAGCCATCGGAGCCTGGTGCGTGAAATAACAGTGCTGAGCGGTTCAGTTCCTTTTCCTGTACCATAAACAAAGAGTCGAACAAGCTCATTGCTCACGCGGTGTTCCCAACAGATGTGAGCCAAATTGCGAAGGCACCGATGGTCGAACGTAACTAGCCTCTTTATGTCGTCTGATCTAAGGGGCCAGGTTTCCCAACAGTAGAGTAAGGTCGAACGTACCGCTGCACTGTACACCCTATCCTTCAGGGCGAGAGTGATGTCGCGTCGGCGCCATAAGTGACGAAGGTTAGCAAAAGCGTCTCGAGCTTTTGTTATACGGTTCGTGATCTCGTCTTCAATCCCAACTTCCCAGGTAGTAGAATTTTTGAACGATTTCCAGCTGATTCCCACCAAGGGTCCGCGCAGGAGGCGATCCCTGCCAATCTTAGAGGCAAATCAAAAGTAGACCATTCAATGGATACACAAGTGAACACTTGAAGACGTATCACAAAGGAGACAGGGTTGTAGGGAAACTATTTTGGGCGTAAAACTCGTAAGTGAGCAATCGATCGTTGAGGGGGTCGTGGCCTGGTAGGGAACAAGCTTGGACTGTAATCTGACGGCGCGAGTTCGAGCCTGCGTACGAACGGGGCAACCCTAGGAACAGCAGCGAAGATTCGGCCCTGGGTACTGGCATACAGCTGATGCTTTCTTTTCTTTTTCTTTCATCCCAATTATCCTTTGAAAATTAAAGTGACACTAGAGGAACAAAACTAAGCAAGCTCATAGGGAGCAACCGTATGAGAAACCAGATGGAGAAAAAGAAAGGTCAAATCAATTGAAGGGGCGTTCATACAGCTGTAGCTCCATACCGATAAGGAAGAGAAAAAAGGTATTGGCTGTGCGAAACACAAACAACCATTTGACATACTGGGTTCACGACGGACAAGAAACCATCTTTGGCGTTGTCTGGATCTTTCGCGGTGAATCTGGGGACAGAAATCAAGAAACACTGTTGTGACATGGAAAGCGAAGGGGTAGAAAGATGATGGGAAGTGGTTCAAAAACAACCTGAAAAATAAAACCGAGATTTTGAGAACCAAACGATGATTACAGAGTATCGACCATTTACAAATGCCATAAAATCACGAGTTAGCAAATAGAACAAACAGTAAATGAGTGCATACTCACAAGCGATCGTAGAGGCGGACTTCACATGGGATCGGACTGCAAACCCACTGGATGAATGCTTTAGGCTTGGGGGCATTTTGCACTGATTGACCAGTCACCTTCAGTTCGGTCACTTTTCCATAATCGTCCTGCATAAAAATGTGATCGCGAAGGAGGAAATGAACGTTCCAGCAAGAGAAAAACAGGCACAATACTCGATGAGAGTAACTTGAATGGGGAAAAAGAGTTCACGTGCATTTACAACGTGGATGGGCGCAGGGTTCCAAACACAGCTGACGTTCACGAATGAGTTTAGAATGAAAAGTAATGGGGACACATTTGTACCTTAGCAAGTGACAACCGTCGCGCGTTCGCTGACCGCTGCACATTAGGGTGATAACACTAGCCTGCGAACCCAGAAAATCGAATTGTGGAAATTAATGAGGGATATGCAATCCAGCCGCCTAAACAAAATAACAACATAACCACTGATTAAAAAGCTATAACGTGAATTAAGTAAACAAAGGTGCGGTGATAGGGGTTTCATAGAACAAACGTGTGAAATCAGTGAGATAAGGCCGGTGCAAGCACATTGTAAATAGATGAGGTAGTTCCCAAAGGTAATGGAACCAAACAACAGCCACAAAAGTCGGTCCTTTAAGAAAAACGGTTGACCGGTGAATCCAGAATACTTAATACGGAGAATAGAAAGCGAGAAGATAAAAATGTGTTGTTCCATTGTAGCTGGAACGGGCACATGCGCGGAATCACGTCGCTGATTCCTGCGCAGTGGCAGCAGATTGCAGCTGTACTACATCTTATCCGGATGCGATACGCTCCCTATACCTCTAGTCCGCAAAGTGGGCGTCAAGGTACCTCTTAAATTCCGACAAAGATTTCACCTTGACTAGCGTCTCCGGCAATTCGCTTCAATATTTCACCACTCGATGCTCGAAGCATAGAGAGTGAGCGATGTGCTTTAACTTAAGTTCCACTAGTTTGTACAGGTGTCCGCGTGTGCTGCTTGGTGTGCGAACGTGCAGCAGCAGTTTCAAAATAAGGAAGTGACCCAGATGCAGTATCCGGTACCTCATAATGAGATCAACTCGAAGTCGACGATATGACAGAGTATAAACCCTAGTCTCCTACATCGGTACGACATATCCCGTAAAATGGGTATGAGCCGGGTAGCTACATGCTGGACGCGTTCCAGTCTCTGTACCTCACCTATTGTGATCCGGCAATAGGTAGGTGAGCCGTACTCAAGCACCGGTCTTATCATGGAAGAAAACAGACGTGGGGCAATCTCTTCAGACCAAGTGCAGAAGCTGCGTCTCAGTGCCCAAAGCAGGTGTAGTCCGCCTGCGTACAGTCTGTTTGTGTTGTCGAGACTTCAGATCACAGCGTCAGATTCCGCCTAGATGCTTTACGGAACTGGTGGGATGCAGCGGGTGGCCGTCCAGGGTGTAGGCTCGCCCATTACTACCCTTCCGTAGGCTCATACAGGAGGAATTGGCCGTGTTGATCGGTAAGTCAACTTCTGCAGACCACTGGGATAGGCGGTCGAGGTCCTGGTGAAAGACCTCACAGTCGCCGGAAGAATCAATAATCCTCCAAATCTTCAGGTCGTCTGCAAACAATGCGCGGGGCAACCGAAGAACCTGAGGTACTTCGTTGATGTGGATCAGGAATAAAACGGGTCCTAGTACCCTGCCTTGTGGTACGCCGCTAGTGGACGGGTACCATTCCGTTAGATGGTCATCCACCTGAATCCACCATCTTCTCCCAATAAGGAAGTCACTGATCCACTGGTGCAGTGCGCCACCAACACCACACATCCTCAGCTTGTGGAGCAGGACCTCATGGTTCACTTTATCAAAAGTTTTACTGAAATCAATGTAGATAACATAAACTGACTTCAACCGATTCAACGCTTGCAAGCATTCCTGCCGCGTCAACAGCAGGTTGGCGATGCATGAGCGGCCCTTCATGAAACCGTACTGCGCCGGCTTTAGGAGATCTTTCGACTCCAGCAGCTGCAGAAGACCCTTTCTCACAATCTTCTCGAGCACGTTCGCCCAAACAGAAATGAGACAAACCGGCCGGTAACTGTCTACATTGCGTGCGTCATCACCTTTTGGAATCGGCTTCGGTACCGAGCATTTTCAGTCGCTCGGCAATGCACCGTCGGACAGCAATCTGTTGAACAGATACGTCATGGAAGGCGAGATGATGGCCGATAAGGACTTCAAAATTAGCGAGTGAAGTCTATCGGGTCCGGCAGGTTTCGTACCATCAAGACTAGCGAGTAGACTGCGGACATCTTTTACACAGCAATCAAGGACCTCCAATTCAGTAGGGGTTGCACACGTCGAGCTTGGCATAGGCGCATGTCCACTTGTACGTACGGAAGGGAAGTGCTCCGCCAATGCGGACGCACATTCAGTGCTGGAGGTTAGAGGCTGTCCGTCAGTGCCCTCTAACATAGCTACGTTACCTGCGGGCCTCAGGTGCCGCTTCACGTAAGTAAAAATCTTCTTGGGGACCGTCTTCGCTGAGGTTGCAAGCTCCTCTTCGAACTGCCGATGCTTTCGCGCTTTGCGCAGCTGCATAGATTCCGCTACGTTTTGTACGCCTCATAATCGTCGACAAAGCCAGACACGAGATATTTATTCCACAATACGCGTCGCTGTTGAGCCAATTGACTATACTCTCTGTCGAACCAATGTGGCTTCACTTGACCAGGGGTAGGAAACGAGCGCACGACGATTGTACACTCTCTTTTACAACCGACCAAGAGGTTTCAACAGATGAATCCTGCGGCAGCGACCAAACTAGTTCACTGGCGCTTCAATTTAGACAATTCAAGTCGGTCTTCCAACAATTGTAGGAGGGCTCCGGCAGACGCGAGTAGGTCAGCGGCAGCTCTAGACTGGCCAACATCATCGAGTGGTCACTAGCTGCCAGAGGGTCCAGGACCTGAATTTCATGTACACGTTGCTCGCAACTCGTTAGTAGTAGGTCCGGCAACGATTGAGCGGAATGCGGTGCAACGCGAGTCGGTTTGCAGACATGTGCTGCCCCAGTTTCAAATACAATCTCTGCAAACTGCGCCTCGACTTCAAAGTGCCCGGGGAGAAATTGAATCACAGGCTACCGTATTTGAGGAAAGTTAAAATTACCCATAAGCAGAAAGCGGCGGAGCCGACTCATGTAGTTCCTGGCATGCAGCAACCAATCCAGGCATCGACTTCGCGAAATGCGATAAGCCGCACCCATAAACAGTTCACCGTCTCAGGCGGATCGAGCAGCATAACTTCGTACAAGCCAACTTTGCTAGGGTAGGTGTGCACCAGTCTACCGCAGAACGAGGACCGAATGTAAAGCAGCAAGCCGCCTCGATCGTTTGATAGTCTGTCGCATCGGAAGCATGAGTAGCCAATGAGCTAGACTTCCTGGGTAGTGAACTCAGGATTTAACCATGTTTCGGCCAGTCATAACACGGCTGGACGACGTGAGGCAACGGAGTGAAATACATCGTCACGTTTGTTCATTAAACCACGAATATTTCTGAAGGCTATGCGCAGGTCATGGTAGGAACCGGCAGACGCACATGAAGCGTCATCGATCTGTTGATGCGGTTTCGGTTGACCCGGAGAACTACCCGAATATTTACGAGGTGGAGACTGGTTTCTCCACTATCAGTCCGCCGCTTCAACTCCACGATAGCGGACTTCAGTTTCTCACTGTCTGACGGACCCAAATCGAGAGGAATATGGATCTTTAGACCTCTTGGCCTATTGAGGCGGGATATTATCAGCCTTGGACTCATTTCATTAACAAACTGACTCGCAGAGGCCAGGATTTCCCCTTCTCTCTCCAAGTCAGGTGATTTGCTTCACCCGTAGCCCCTGTTCATCCATGTTGAGAAACCTATCAGTCAGGTTCTGCATAAAAGTCATGTCGTGGTCAAAACGAGCCTGAGGACTAGCATATGTCGACTCAGGCGCGTGAAATATCATAAGGTTACAAAGTTGCTAATTTCTAGCCGTTCCTTCTCCTTATTGCTTCACAGCATTTCCCATTGGACTACAACGCCTGCGATATCGCACACCGGTATGTTAGTGTCCGTAGGACGCAACACAGGCATGCCAGCTGAGTCTCCAGTAACGGTTGGATATCGCGCTGGATGGCATGCGGCCGGTGTGCAGGTGGGTTCGTTCGAACATAGAGGTGGTTGGGTTTCCGTTTGCTTGGATGAACCTAGGGTGAAAGCTAAACACCGGGAAAATGCAACAGAGCTCGTTCGCATAGCGCTTTCATATATCTTGTCCGGACAGTAGCATTAACAAAGACGCAGTTCCACCAATGGTGTTCTCTATTTAATCCAGTTAAACAACAGTTGGCAACTGTCATCCAATAACAAAGATCATTTGTGTAGCATATGAACGGATGTCTCTTAGGTCTCGCTGGTCTAACTGATTCCTGCAATACATTACTCCCATCCAATCTACTCCTTTCTCGAGGCTTTTCTCTCTCCGACTATCTGAGCCCAGCGTATGTTTTGCCGCTCTTTGTTGTCCTCGATGACTCTGTTGTGGTGAGCCAATAGATCAATTTTCTCTCTGATGTTTTCTCCTGTTCCTTTTCCCGATTACTGCGAATTATCTTTTCGCCCTTGTTGAGTACGTACGCTATCTCCCCGAGGTTCGCAGTCACCATGCCTTTCATTCATAGGTCTTGGGCACCGGGTATCGGTTGACACACACACACATTTCCTCGCCCAATATCAGTGCACGCAATACCCAGGTGCCGCATTCGTTGCACCACGATTGAATTAGTACTCGTTTCTGCATGAGTTTTCGCGGAAGTTCATGTGGGGGCGAAACGGAGCAGAGAACCTGAACCGATGCGGGAATCAGCCCATTTAACCTTAACTGTTCCAAAAACAGAGATTAAACTGAACGAAGTGATTGCAAAGTAACACACAAGAAACCCAGTTGTGGAGAGTGCAAAAGCAGCAACCAAGTAAATCCAACCCAATTCAGTGGTCAGGAATTGAACTACCTCGATGGTAAAAGAAAAGCGACAAAAATGTGGAGAAAAGGAAGCGATAATAAAAAAATGCAAAATGGGAGAGAGATCAAAGTATGATGGTGGAGTGAAAAGCAAAAAATAGTGGTCGACGGTTCTAATGGAACGGTATTGCTGAAATAAGTAGAATAGGATATTCGATCAACATTAGCCAACTGTGAGGTGCTCCATCAATAATACGACAGTAGGAATCAGTTCGGACGTGATGATTCGTCCAGCTGTCCGGTGTGCACACGATAAGATACAATGGCTACCTCGCCCTAACTGAACCACACATGACGGCTAGAGTTGAGACCACGATTGGACAGCCGCTCACCGAGCATGAAAGCGGGTAACAGCCAATATTTATCTGCTTCATGCGGAAAATGTAGTTTGGGCAAATAAAAGTAACCGGCTCAACAGAGTAACCAATCGAACGTCACTTGTCCAGTTACCAAGAGCCAGATGGTTCATGTCAGTGGACACTTCATGGACAAGCCCTAACGCATGGGTGATGGGGGCCCAACGTCCCCATATGATGACAAGCTGAAACTACCCTAAGTCGCTGAGACCCGTAACCAGTCCACATATCTGATCAGCCTTTCCACTCGTGAGACATTCCTGTTTCCGGCCAACCTCCGCGATCATGTGACATCCAGCCTTTGTACCTATGAAACATTTATTTTTCCGGTCCAACCTGAACTTTCCGATATGTTTCGTTAGCATATTCACATAGTGTCAATTCACCTGCTTATCTCTTGCTTCCAGGATTTGATTACGATAAACAAGTGCATGTGGAAAAACACATATATTTCACAATCGCGGTATATAAACAAAGCTGGACAACGCTGCAATCGCCTTGGGCCTGGCCGGTAAAAGTGCCTGTTGCGAAAGATCTGTCGTCTGTTTTTTCTCGAGTTTGGGGAATCGTGTGTGAAGTTGCGCTGGATTTAGGAGCCCGTTCAACTTGCCCGTAGTAACCGCGTTGTGCCTGTCTCACGGGTCGTACGAACTTTGAATGCCGTCGGTTACCTTGTCGTGTGTGGATATAGTTCCGAGTCCCATCCATTCGTCCGACTAGGAGAGTTGGTACTGGATCGTCAGAGCGTGGCGTAATCAAGAGGGAGTTATACCAATGGGTAAACCTAACCCATAGGAGATGAATCCCCTACAACAATGTCGACAAGGTCATGAAAAATAACCAACCAGCAGTAATTGAAAAGTAAGAGAGACAACAAGTGAATGAGTCCCTAATCAAAATGAAAACACAGATAGTACATTGAAGCCAGTGTGCAAAAGTAGTTTAATCGTTAAGGCCGGGAAGTAACGGGATACGTGCGTTCAGGTAACTCTTCAAGTGATTGTGCCAGCCGGTTAACTGGATTTGACAACGCACCATTCAGACGAAGAAATGTGGATAATCCACTCGTTTACCTTTTGCACCGATTGCTTCACTAGGAGGTTACAACCATACCCCCGTGACGGAACTGTACGCTATCGGGCGTGTCCCTACGTTGCGGGTCGGGGAATGCCTTCCTTGTGGAGGTAACTGCGAATAAGTCTACTCTGCTTTGCAGGCGAGATGAATAAACAGCCGCGGACAATCAGCGGCAGCGTCTCAGAGCGTGGGAAGTTCTGGGCTTGTCAACTGGTTCACCATCAAATAATACAACAGCTTGTACGGCGCTGTGTCAAAGCCAATGTGACCGGCTATATGGTCAATGACCACTCACTTCTGTAACCAGAAGTGAGTACCTAACGGAGGGCAGATGAACAACCTTGTTGGCCACCGGCTTCACTGTGGACTGCTACTGAACACAAAGAAGGCGATTGAGCTACCCGGATATCAACGGTCTCCGGTAGTCGTCTCGCTGCTTTGCAGGTCAGGTCTTTATGACCAAAGGCTCGGAGTGGGGTCGCTTAAGTCAACCCTCTTCCTAGACCTGGGCAACCAGGAAGATCACTGCTCGCATAACACATTAACTATGTAAATCTACAAAACCTTTCCAATGTTTACCTGTTTTCCCTATTATGTTGTTGTTATTGTTAACTATTTGTTATGGCACTGCCAAGGGTATACTGGTCAGTTGTTGAATGGTTGGTTCTCGGATTCCGGTTTCGGATTTGCCTGTCACAATGGCTAGCCACAGGGACAGTCACAGGACGCCTGCGCCTACAGAGAGACCAGGAGTGGCTTGCGCTGCACCACCCACAGCTCCAACCACACACCCCATATCCAGTGCAAAACCCCAAGGAATAGGACCGGAAGGCATGTGGAAGGGAGCCACGTTTCATCAACGCGGCCGGCCCACACTCCTTCACAGACAAACAAAAGCACGCTGTATTGGAGAATCAATCGCACATAAGGCGGTGGCTGGACCGTAGACCGCTCCACATTGAGTGCATGGAACCGCTCTTCGAGCCTAGCATTGCCACAAGGACCGAGCATCCCGTCCCCTCCAGCAACCACCAACTGTCTCCTGGAGCCAGTATGGGCGAGGTAGTGGGTAATAGACAAGTAGGTGGCTTGTCAACATGCACATCAAGCGCAGCCACACCTGCGATGTGAAACAACAGCCAAACATTCGAAATGCCGATATCCAATGAAGCATATCGAATAAAGTAAACGTGTATGACGACATAAATACTCGTCAAATGAGCATATGGAAGAAATCGGTTATAAGCGAATCCGCGATAAGTACAAAATGTCCGAAACTTATTAAAAAATCGAACGTGATAAAGTTACGCAAGTGTACCACAATTAGCATGAGCGACGTGTGCAAGTTAGGAGAAGATTATCAAGTACGCAGAACAAAAAAATAAAATGTAATCAATTCTATCCACATTAAAAATACCTAATTTAAGTGTAAGTTGATTTAGCCCAACTGCGGTGAAGAAACATCATGAGGAATGCAACTTCAGCCTCAGCATGGGGCACAGGTGTTGAATAATGTTGATAATACAACCATACCTGTGCTTTAAGTGATTAGCAACAGTACTCGATTGTTATTTGCAGAGCAAGTTGTGAGTCTTTAACTTGAGCAACGATCGTGATAAAGCAACGTTTCACAGTATTCCAGATACCATGTAAGCATGCAGAAATTTGAAGGAATCGCGTGCCGCATCTTAAGTAGTCTAATCAAAGCCTCGGAAATCTATCCGATCTTCGGGTGTCCAAAGCAAGACGGACAAGCAAACTTGTATATCACCCCCTCCCCCCCTGAAGCACTGCAAATACTCCCCTGACATTCACCTCGTTCGTCGAGAGCAATGAAAAGAGCTAATTCAGTCTAGCAGTGCTCTAATTCATTTTGGCCTGAATCCAGGTTAGGGGTTAAATGTTTCGGAGTAATCTAGTGAGACAGATGTTGGCGCTGATGAGTGCCATCTGCAGCTAATTGTGATGTGACTAAATTGGATCCACGATGTCATTTCATTCGGACACCGGATTGTGTGACACTGGTGTATGTGCAAGAGGGTAGTGGCGATGACATGAGGATTGTGATCTGTACATACATAATCACTTTGACAGTTAGATAATCACCGACTGGAAACGGTCCCCCCATAAAAGCCGTTTCGTTACTGAAGTGCACCTCTCATGCTACGAGCAATGAACAAAATGCCTGTATTTGGCAGATGAAAACAACCGGTGGTAGTAGTGGTTGGGAATCTCAGGACTGAAGTCAGCAGCCAATAGGCTCCGCGTATTCTGCAGCGCCTGTTCATGTTGTTGAAAGTTTGTAGAAGCGCCACTTACTGCAACTCGTTGATACGCAAGGCGATATGGTCAATGTAGTATCACATCAGTATCACCAGAGATGGGAAGGACCTAGCCATTCGTGCTAATCTGGACAAGATGGTGTAGGACGTTTATGGCACACTATCATCTCAGCCCCAAGAGAGCGTGATGAGAGCAAAGATGGGGTATTACTGAATGACCGAACGCAATACGACATGGGGAGAAATTGAACCTTCGGTCCGAAAAAAACGAAGACTGAGCACAATGTTAGCAGAGGTAGCAAGGATAGGAGCAGCCGCATGATGAAAAAACAAGAAAAAGATGAGGAACTGAAGAGGAGAAGCAATGAGCACGCGATAAAAGTATCTACAAGAACCAACAAAATCCAATAGGGAAAAACCAAGGGTCTGGAGCGACCTTAATGAGCGAGTGGACGATGTGCGACCACCTCAGACACAATGAATGGCAAAGCAACTAGATAATGGGTCCCCAAATATTCGAAATTGTGAAGGGATCACAGACTGAAATAGAACGTTGAGAATTGCTCAAGTTAGCTATGAATTAGGGCAACGAAAAAAAGTAATTTTGCTTTATGAAGGTAAAAATGGGATCAAGATAACGGTAATAACCAACAATGAAAATCTGTCATGGGTTCGCCTGTAGTTTAATCTCAAGGAAAAAACATATCGAAAACTCGCCACTAACTCAAGCGATGTTATTATATTACAGATTAGAAGGAGCATAATCCGAATAAACTAGCATCACCGTTCAAAACGAGGATTTGTTTTGGGAGGCACAGGTAGATCGATAATTTATTTCACATAAAAGATCAAAAACTACGAAAACAATCACCTTGACTACTTGCTCCAATTCTAGAACAAGGCCGGCGTAGCGAAGTCCAACCGGTTGATTAGGTGTTAAGCGACGATATCCCTTGTCGCACACTTCCTGGAAATCGGTGCTGTCGAGATACAACTCCGGGGAGATGAAAACCTTACGAGTCTTGCTGTTGGGGTCGGCTGGAAAGTCCGGGACGTCCAACTAGGAGGAGAAAAACGAATCGAGAAAGATGCCTAGAAAAAAACAATGGCCGAAAAGACGATGGCTTGTTGAAGAAGTCGAGTGATAGTGTTTTATGCTTACAGCAGTTTCGCAATTGCATTGTTGAAAGTAGGAAGGATAAGTGTGTATCAGGAGAAGAGGGTACACTGAACCCGTGCTCGTCGACAAAAGTCCATTCGGCGAGATCGCCTTCTACGTATTAAAACACGGACAAAGTCACCTAGGTTGGTGACGAAACGTCTGCAGTAAAATGGTTCAGCTCAGAGAGCAAACCAAAATGGATGCTAGTTTGGGCAAGCCTGACGCTAAGAGTTGATCGAATAAAACGGAAGAAGACAGCTGTTAATTATGGTCCAAATGTCGTCTGGTACAAGAGTGCATGCGTGTATCAATGCAAATGGAAGTCTACTGGGAGTTCATTCCCAGTGTGTCCAAAGGAGAATGAAAGCCATGGAATTTCGCTGTGTCTACAATCACAAAAAAACAAAGAATATGGAGTTCATACAAAAAACTAGTCAAAAGCTTTTCAATAACTACCATAAGGAAGTGAAATTTCGTAGAGTAGACTATTGCGAGTAATAGACCAACAATAATTATTTATGTCCAAAGTTGATAGTGTTCCACTGTGAGATTCTGGAGGCACCCCACCAAATTTGGGAGCACTTCGCTTTCGAGAGAAAGTAGAGTACATAACGAGTATACAATGGACACAGTGAGAGCGATTCAGTTGCATCGCTGCGAGACTTGGCGTGTTCGTGCAAAGTATGTTGAGAGGCTTTCTGTTTTTGATCATGGCTGCCTTCGGAGCATTGTTGGTGTACGATGGCAATATCACAACTAAAAATGAAGATGTTCGACGAAGGCTTTTCAGATCAGACCGACTTTGCCGGCCACTAAGCAGCATAGTTTCTCTGCGCAAACTTCAGTGGCTTGGGCACGTTCTTCGCATGTCTACTCATCGTTTACCTCGCCGTGCCCTTTTCGCGCGCGCAAACGTCGACTAGAAGAGAAAGCAAGGTGGCCAACGTATGACTTGGGCCAGGAGCATGAAGGAGCTAACGTCAAAATTAACCATGGTCAGGCGTTCTCGGTTCCCCGGCTGGAGTGTGAAGGATCCGGAACATGCATGGCTGGAAACACACTCGGAAATGACAAGAAATCGTGCACAATGGTGGACTTATTGTGACCTACTATCCCTATGAACACCAGCATTTTCTACTCTCCCTTCGTATGTTTATTTTATTTTCCACACATTGTGGCACTATGCCAATTATACTAATGTTCGTGTTGAATATATATATATATATATATATATATATATATAAGCTTTGCGGCATCTGATTTCGGATTTGCCTGTCACTGTGGCAAGCCACAGGACGCCTACGCCCACAGAGGGACCAAGCGTGGCTTGTGCTGCACCACCCACAGTTTCAACCACACACACCATATCCAGTGCAAACCCAAAGGAATAAGACCGGGAGGCATGTGGATGGCAGCCACGTTTCATCAACGGAGCCGGCCCACACTCCTTCACAGACAAACACAAGCACGCTGTATTTGGGGAATCAACCGCACACAAGGCGGTGGCTAGACCGTAGTCCGCTCCACTCAGTGCATGGAACCACTCTTCGAGCCTAGCACGGCCACAAGGACCGTGCATCTTGTTCCCTCCAGGGACGACCAACTGTCTCCGCGAGCCAGTATGGACGAGGTAGTGGGTAATAGACAGGTAGGCACCTTGTTAACATGCACATCAAACGCAGCCGAACCGATGTCAAACAGTCAATCACTTGAAATGACAATATCAAATAAAATATATCTTATGAATGGAAGGATTTTGGTGTTATGCCGACATATTTCTTCGCTAAATAAGCACATGAAGTAAGTTGGTTAGCAGTGAATCCACGATAAAACGTCCACAAGTTACTTAAAAATGCTACAAACGCAACAAAGTTATTGAAGATAACCGCAATTAGCGTAAGTAACGTGGCCGGTTAATAGAAGATTATTCAGGTAGGCAGAACAAGCCAAATAAAGTGGAATGAAATTTATCCTGTTTAAAATGACGTAGTATATATATATATATATATATATATATATATATATGTATGTATATATATATATGTATATATATGTATATATACATATATATATATATATATATATATATATATATATATCAAACCTGTTGGATCCCGTGCTAAATACGCCGTGGCGCAGTAAATCACTTGGGTTAGCCAACTAATGTTTAGCCAAAGAGCACTCTCGGGAGACAGTTAGAGTGCAAAATGTGGAAGTATTCCAGAAATGTAATGTAAATGTAAGGTTCTGGTTTGCTGTATGAACACAACATTATTATGAAGAAAGTACCACGCGGCATCTAGTTTGCAAGGCGTTCGTTTTGGTGGATACCAACGAAAGGGCATGGGACACTGGAGCTTAGTCATTACAGTAAGAGTCAACGCTCCTAGAGGGTACAGATCGATGATCATCTAATTGACTGGTCCTTTTCATAGTGCCGTACCCCAGGGCACGGTGCTGAGGCCCAGTCGACTCCTAATCTCCGTCAACAATTCTTCGGTCGCCATGTACCCTATTTGCGGATGAGTTGAAAAATTTTGTGAATGAGTAGCAACCGAGACGACCGCGCTCTACTTCAGCAAGACGGCAATCGCCTCTCCATGTGGTCTGCAGAAGTCCGTCTACAAAGCAACGCGAGCCACTCGTATTCATGAGCCTAGGGAAAAGTGGTAACGCGCGGACGTAGACCATTAACGGCTACAACACAGGCCTTACGTGAAGGACCTAGGTGTACTCTTGCGACTTGAAGTCCGTGGACACACTGCGCATGTTTAGGGCGCTTAAACATGGGTTCTGTACTTGATCTGAAGAGGTCGCCACACGTCTCCCCTTTTTCATCCTAAGACAAATAGTGGAATACGGCTCGCGCGCCAATAGTGCAACACCTATGGCGAAGCGTAGAAGATCGAAAGGGTCCAGCGCGTCGTTAGCAGGCATATCCATGGTTTACGAGGATTGCCGTCCGAAGAACGCTGTGAGAAACTAGGACTACACACCTTGTCCTATCATTGGTTGCGAGTCGCTCTCACCGTGACCTACCCCATATTACAACTCGGTGACTTCCTCATGCTGAGGCTGCTGCCTCATTTGCGAACCCCAAGTGGTGCAACCTATAAAGCGAGTTTTCCACCTGTGCTTCGGAGAGTGGCATATTTGTTGGGAACGGTTTATCCCAACAAGTCGGGTAAGCCAAATCTGTGCAACAGTTCAAAACGTTGTTGGATTTACGTCTCAGCACCATTCGATTTAGGGACCGATTGCAGAGTGACAATGACATCTTACATTTGTGAGCATAATGATACAGTCAGTCGAAACTGAAGAATAGCAACAGGTGGCAGGTGTTTATTATGGAGAGGAAACCAGAAGACGTAGACTGTGAGATGACGTCGCCATTTCGGCAATTCTTATCAAGCATGAAACATGCAACAACGCTGAGTAAAGGAACAACTAGAATGTCAAATGAGATTGTAAACAACCAAGCGTTTGCGCAGTTTTGAATGCGCAGCGGCGATCGTACGTGATCTTTAACGATGGCATCCAGTAGCCTAAGCATGTGGGACCGCCGATCGGGCATTAAAACAGTGAATGACTAATCAGGATTGACTTGGCGTTCGATGGAACTGTACAGATATAAATTTCTACTTGCTTCCACAATAATATGCAGTAATCATGTCCAGTAAAACGACCAAGGATAATCACAAATCGAGAAGCGCACCTCTTTCGTTTGTAGACCCGGATACAAATCACTCCAGTTGGTAATGGTCACTTTCAGTGGTTCTAAGACGGCAAGTACACGAGGAGCATGGTCATTCAAATAGTCCCGGACGCAAGCTTCTAAAGCGGAGGGGTCTAGAGATGTCTGAGACATAGTTACTCCGACGCGTTCACAAAATGTGTTCACTGCTTCAGGAGGAAAACCCCGACGGCGAAGCGCGGTGAGGGTGATAAGTCGTGGATCATCCCATCCGGACACAATTCCAGCTTGAATGAGCTTGAGGATTTTGCGCTTAGAGACCACATTGTAGTTCAGATTCAAGCGACCGTATTCCCACTGTACCGGGCAGTAGACGTCCAGAGCATTGCACAACCAATAGTAGGCTGGACGTCTGGAATGGAACGAGTGCAAGAGACTTTTTATGGAGGTCGTATAAGAACGCTAGGTAAAGAAAATGATGAAATATTGAGAGCAAACAAATACGTAAAAAAGAAATTAACTTTACACACTGGAAGTGAGAAATATCCGATAGAAAAAGTAACCTAAGCAGTGGGATAAAACAAATGGCCGCGACGAATAATCCGGCTAACTGATAGGAAAATTTGTCGTGATATCCATGTCGACAGTTCAGCAGCAACCCAGATCTCCCGAGCGATGCTAGCATATTTGGAAAAGCTCTTGTGATGGTTATCGATCCCCACCTATATGCTAACGAGTGACAATTTGTGATAGAAGCGGTGATGACAACAGACTATGAAGAAATTGGATTAGGGTAAAAAATTATCGACGAAGTTAGTGGATTATGCCGGCCTAGAGTTTGACTTTTACACGAGAGGCAAGCTTCGTATCCAAAAGACATTTGACGTCAATTTAGGAACCGTCCCAATGATTCCCACTATGTGGGAATCCAGCACGCTATCTACCTGCTGCGAAAGTGTGGGCTAAGTGGCCGAGTCAGTCAGCCGCGGGTCTTCAGCGAGACTCTCTTCTGACAATAGTTTTCTCACGCCTGAATGTCCGTACTGAAATATAGTGACACCGTTGACAACATTGTTGTTGACTATAGTGCAAATATATGCACCTTGTCATCGAAACACTTATGTATGTTGACAGCGCGAAATCTTCAACCAATTTATCTGAACAGGTAACCATGACTATACTGAGACAACTGTCCGGTAGTTACAGAGTCGGGGTTGAAATGCGCAGAGATCAGTTCCTGTTAACCGTAGTCAAGGGGGAATTGTACAACTCCAAACTCACGTCGACGTGAATCGACCGCATCAGAATACGGGTGGCGTTACTTTTGCTCTAGTGTACGCTTGCAACTGGTTGCAACATCGCAACCCCCAGCGATTAGTGCGACGATGAGCTTTATCGCACGTTGAGTCGACCAGGAATACGGATAATTTGATCATCATTCACGACAGCAACTATGCGGGCATGTATCGGAGGATAAACAAAGTTTTCCATAATAAAGGAACATGTGCGAAGGCGGGTTAAACGAAAAATAGACCAGCCTTCTTGTGCACTTGAAACCGTGATTGCACAGACCGACAGCTTCCCCAGTAAGTAAACACATACTGGTTATGCGTTACTGGATAAAGCCGCGATAAACGTTTACAATTGTGCTGCGTGTCATGCTAATCTCTATTTCCTCAGCGTTCCGCCCAGGCCATTTCGATAAGACAGATGAAGCGGGCTCACAGTGTGTACCGAAATAAGTAAGACGATCAGAAGAAGAATGTTATGGGATGACACTGTCAATTCGTGCATTCTCGTCAAACCACGTACAAGCAAATAACAAAAAACCCAGAATAAGATCACATAAATCCAAGTATTGGTCATCTGAATTACGATTGTGCATTTCTAGCTACCAGGAAAGGTTAAGCGTCACAGTCAGTTGGGTTTGAACACACAGAGCATTGGGCGTTGTCGGTCGACAACAATAGCATCAAAAAGACTGAGAAGGTGAGGTATTCGGATGCGCATGATGACTGTGAATGATTCGTCCGGGTTTACCTGGTGACCGGTGTTTATTAAATGCCTCGTAAGTGCTGTGGCAGCCTTGCTACCCGGTTAACCAAGTGAAACAGCCGCATGTTCCACTCGTTTGCGAAGCCACTTTGGATACCACAAAATTCAAGCCAGATACTGCTTTCGACACAGTCCGGTTGTGTCGTGAAGTATAGATCTTACTGCCCATGGTTTCATCTCAGAGCAGGAATATAAGCGCTAAAACCAGTGCGCACCCAAACACCGAAAATGTATGGTTTACCAAAGATGTATAGGGTAAGAATATATAAGTGGCTAAAAATCTTCAAATCTCCCATCCCGAACCCCAATACTAACCTTCTTCCTATAATTCCCGGCTTAACTGACAACAACCGAAGTGCCACTGGAGTAAAACCATCTGCAGCCGAGACCGGACCGACACGCGACCGAACGCCTATCGGCAACAGTCAAATATAAAGCCACACTGTCCAGTTTCCATGGCAAGGTCCAACATCCACACTCTAAGACAAATAGGTCAACAGGCTGCATCGCACGCAGCTTGGACACGCTGGTTATTGATGTGTGTTGTGTGTCCGAAACTAGTATCAATGACACTAATGGGGTTGTTGAATTAACTGCACCCGACTTATCCTCTTGCTATTGGTTGCACGCATCCGGAGACGCCGATGCAGCACTCACGGGTCAAGCTGGGGTAGCTATCATTCTAAGCCCCAAGGCAGAGCCATCGTTGGTTGCCTGGATTAAGGTTAACAGCCGTTTATGTGCAGCCCGTTTGACGACATCAGCTAAGGTTAATTCACGAAGTAGTATAAAACGCTGTTTGTTTGTGATTTCCACTAAGGCTCACACCGACTGCAGTTCTAATGCTGTCAAGCACACATGCTATCACGAACTGAATGCACAATTACGCAATGCTGCTAGTTCATATTGCAATACTTGCAGGGGAAATAAACGCACAAGTAGGGCTTCTGAGCTCTTCTGAAGCTCAGCTGCGTGGTAGGTATGGGCTTATCTCCGAACGGACTGACAGCGGTGAGTACCTGCTGCAACTGTGTGCGGAGCACCAAATGCTATTTAGTAGCACTGCCTTTAGATACAATGGGCGTCGAAGTGCCAATTGGCGTCTTCCTGTAGCTGGGCAGCAATGGACCCAAAATGACCACATGGCCATAACTTATAGGTGGCGTGGTTTCAGCCTAGATTGCCGCTCGTACTCGAGTACCTGTGTCCACTCGGATCATGCCTTGGTACGCTATCGTTTCTCCATGAACTTTACCGGGAGGCGCACCAAGCGTCTCCTTCGATTGGCAACTGAGAACTTGTCTCAGCACTCGGTCAGGCAAACCTATCAAGAAGCACTGCATACCGAACTTCCAATGTCTTGTCCTACCGACACCGAATTTCGGTGGAATAGGATCTCGGTCGCCATGCACGCAGGAGCATCTGCTTGTGGCAAGATCAATCGTAACCGCACCAGTCACTGAATATCCGAGACGGCAGGCGACCCTGGAAGCAACCTCCCGGCTGGCTCTGAGCGCAATGTGACCAGACGGGCTATTAGGCGTGAACTAAAGCAGAGCCTACGTGCTGACAAGGAAGTCTGGTGGACCACACAAGCTCAAAAAATGGAGGAGGCGGGAGCAGCAGGCAATTACCGGAAGCTCTTCCAGCTGATTAGCACCACTGGTCCCAGGAAACCAGGCGTCAGTGAGACAATAAGAGACAGCGCGGGTGCATTGATACACAATAAGGAACGCCGTATGGCTCGTTGGGAGGAACACTTTCAAAATCAGTTCAGCTGGCCCGCTGCTCCCGGACCTCTTCCTGATTAGGTGATGCAGGACGAGCCATGAACGGTTGGTTTAGAGCCTCCGTTGGAGGAACAGGTCAAAAACACGCTCACAGGCCTCAATCGTTTTCGTGCCGCTGGCCCGGATTCCCTCCCACCTGCACTATTTGAAGACGGTGGTGAGGTCAATTGCAAAGTACTACCGCCATATTTGAAAGCAGCTGGAAGGAAGTGTCCCGGCTAATTGGAGCGGATCGATTATAGTGGCAATATACAAGAAGGGCAGTCGCACAGACTGTTCTAACCACAGGGGTATTAGCCTAACGCCAGTTGTGACAAAATTACTGGCCTCGATTATTGTTCGTCGCCTCACTGCAGAACGGGAATCTCGGATTAGGGAAGAGCAGGCCGGTTTTCGCCCAGGACGTGGCTATATAGACCATATATTTACTTTGCGGCAGGTGCTAGAGCAGCGCCACGCATACCGCAGACCGACAATAGCTGTGTTCCTCGATTTCAAGAGTGCGTTCGATTCAGTCGATCGATCGATTCTGTTCGAATTACTTGCGCGAAAAGGTGTTCCCACGAAATATGTGAACATCCTTCGTGCTCTATACTCGAACACTAAAGGCCGTGTCAGGGTTTATGGTGTCCTATCGGATAGCTTTCCGACCACAAGTGGCGTTCGTCAGGGTTGTCCGATTTCCCCTTCAATTTCGTCGTGAATTCTATCACGGACTGTTTCCTTGCGGAATCTCACGATGTAAGTGTTGACGTCCTGTCTGATGAAAGATTAGTTAATCTTCAAATTCTTGAAAGATACTTGGAACCGATCGAGTAGTCGTGAGTTCAGAGAGGTTTGGAAACAACCGGTTGGTATAGCATTTTGGTAACGTTTCGAATTTAACATAAAGGCTTCGTCAGACCAGATGAATCAGTGTGCAATCGGTGTGGGATTTTATAGCGAATAGGGACGATAACCGCGGTACCCGAGTCTTCAGCCATGAGTCATTACAGGAACAGTTCGGGATGTCACCTCAGGTGGCTTAAACACAGTGGGAATAGTCCAGGTGTTCCTTTGTGCGTCATGACATTGACGGATAAGCCCATAGTGTCGACAATGAGAGTCTGTTTGCACTTTTCAATCTGATCAACGTATCGATGCTCGTCAAGCTGGCCGGCCTAAAACCGCCCGCCATGCATTAGGGAATTCTACCCCCTCAATTCTATTCACGCAGTCATCAGATTTGGCAATTTCCACCGCCTCGGCAATCAACCGCTGGGATGTTGATCGTATGCCCCTCCTAATGACCTCTACGTTTTCGAGGTCTATCTGGTGACCCGTGTCTAATGCATGCACAGCTACGGCCGAGTCTCTTACTATCGCCTGGTATTCAAACTCCTTTCTTGGTAGTCTTGCAATGCGCCTCCTATGCTTCGAAATTCGTGTGCGTAATTCTCTCGCTGTTTGGCCTATATACACATGTGCACAGTCTTTACATTTAATTTTATAAACACAGTTAGTCGTCCTATCTTTGGGAAGGGGGCCCTTCAGGTGTACCAGCGCCGAACGTAACGTTCGACCTCGGTGAAAGATCACCCTTATATTTTCCTTGTTTAGTACCCTCCGAATTGCCTCAGAAATGTCTTCCTTGTACTGAATTCCGACCGTCCCTATCCACTCGGCTGTGGGTCTTGACTGCCGGTGTAGCACTTTATGCAATTGACGTTTAACTAGTCGCCGTGGGTAACCGCTTTCTAATAGTTTGCTCATTGCCACTTTCCGCGCAGCCTTTTTGTCCTCCTCCATCGTGCACAAGGTTTGTGCCCTGTAGAACAGCGTTGAGGCTATCCCAGCGTAAATCTGTTTCGGATGACCCGATGTGTAGTGGAGTACGCCGTCAGTATCCGTTGGCTTGCGATATAGTGTCGTCTTTAAATTTCCCCCATTCCCGTGAACTAGGCAGTCAAGAAATGGTATTGTACCGCTACAAGATTCCAACTCAATAGTAAATTGTATTCTCTCATCAATGGAGTTTAAGTGATCAAGCAATTCGTCCTTCTTATCCTTTTTAACAAGTACAAAGGTGTCGTCTACATAACGCCACCAAACTTTTGGTGAGTTAATGGTGCTTGTTAACGCCCTGTTCTCGAAGTCTTCCATATACAGGTTCGCCAGTACAGGGGATATTGGCGATCCCATTGCGAGACCTTATTCCTGACTGTAAAGCTTCGACTGAAAAACGAAGTAAGACATGTTAAGACACACTGTCATTCCCTCGATTATCTGGTTAACTGTTAGTTTCGTCCGATCATTCAGAGTGACGTCTTCATTTAGACAACGTCTTGCTATTCCTAGCGCCTCTTCTTTGGGTACATTTGTGAAAAGTGATGTGACATCGAAGCTGACCATCAAATCATCTGACTCAATTTTTAGACTTGCTATCTTTTGAGCGAAGTCAAAAGAGTTTTTCACGAA